TGTGTGTGTGTGTGTGTGTGAGACTAAATTCATGTTTGTTTGAGTGTGAGAATAGGGCTGGGTTTCCCTTTGCAGATAAATGGTCTTTGTCGGTTGCTGGTGGCAGATTCCTATCAGTGAGCCATCAGCATTCAACCCAGCCTGTCTGTCTGTAGCCAGTGATCAGCTCGATGAGTTATGGTGCCCTGTCCTGTTCTGTAATCCCCTAGAGCCTGTCTGTCTGCAGCCGCCTCCCTTGTACACACACACACGCAGACCAACAAAGACACAAGCTCCCTTATTCTGAGCTCAGAAACAACATTTGTTTTCTTTCTCTGTCTCGTACACTCATTTGCACTCAGTCATTTGGGATTAACAGAGTACACAGACAAGCACATCTCACCAATACACAGGGCTTTGTTCTAAAGTGACGGTAAATATGAGTTTGCATGTTTTATTGGTCAATAAATATTCAGGTGGTTAAAAGCAACTGCTCCACGAAGGTCAGTTTGCCCATCACAGTTAGTACGACTCAGTCTGTAGAAAACAGTTGTGTAATGTTCTTGGTGGTGAAAGATGAGCTTTGTTAAGTTCTGAAGAAATAAACGCAGGATCCAGCATTGCTGAAGTTTAATGCAAACTAGGGAGTAAAACTTCAGATACCCTAGAAACATGCTTAAGTTGTGTAACATATTTATATGTTCATGCAATTATCAGCATTGTATATGATATAATACTATATAACATATTTCTCTGTATTGTTGGAATGACATGCAGAAGTTAGTTTCCATTGCACCTATGCCAATGCGAATTACTTGAAACCTGAATTCTCTTGAATGACCACCAGAGGGCGACTCCACTGGTTGCAAAAAGGAGTCCGTTTCTATGGAAGTCTCTGAGAAAATGACCCTCACATGATTTATAACGCTAGTAAACATTTTCATTAGGAGTTTATGGTCTCAATAAGTAGTTTCAAGTCTTCTTCAATACAGCGTGATGTTCATTTCGTAAAATATGTCACCATTTAGGGTAAAATAGACAATAAAGCACAGTATGCTAAGGGGTGGGGACATTGTGTCATTGACAGCTAGTACCATCAATAGGTGCAGGTCCCAGGTGGAGGTGGATATGCCGTGTCTGTGCTTATGTCAGTCTTGCTGGTTCCAAAATCCAAAATGGCACTGGACAAAATGCCAAACTTGAGGCTTTAAAACGGCAGCTCCAAAATCATTGGGTGACATCCTGGTGGGTTGCCACTTGATGACACCACAGTATTGCTTTATTCACATGTCGTGCAGACGTTAATTTAATCCAATGTTTCCCAGCTCTGTTGGATAAATGCATTCAGAAACCCTAAACTCAACTTCCATTGGAAAAAATCTACAGCAAAAGTGGAATATTTATGAGCTGAAACATTCTGTATAATGTCTGTAAATCTACACACAGTGCTCTGGATAGACACAACACTGTACATTTCCACAGTGTTTGCTTGAAATTACAGATCCTCATGTTGGTAGCATTCAAAATCACTCATGTCTACACATCCACTTTCACAGATGGCCTGGGTTTTCCCCCGGAACCAAACACCGCTCACTGGCAAAGCAAAGCACTGCTTGATTTCTGTCGCCAGTTTAGTGTCTGGGGAGATAGGATGTCTCTTCCTGTCTTGCTCTTATACACTCTGCTGTCTGAGCATCTGTGGGGGGATTATCACCTCAGTGACTCAGATCATTTTGGACTTCCTCTCCTCTCGTCTCCAGAAAGGATTTTATTAGTTGTTATAAAACTGTTGTTGGTCTGTGGAATGTTCTCATGTGTTATGCATACATGTTTATGTTAGAATGGTTTTAGATTAGCATTGGATGAAAGCACTTTGAGCATATATTTTGATATGCCTGAGATTATCAGAAGGGTGTGTTTATTTATTGTCTGTACAGCGTGTTCCCCATGTGCATTTCTGGATAATCACGAGTTTGGTGTGTGTGTGTGTATCTGCGTGCTTGGCTAAGGCTTTGGCCTGAAGCCCTGATGTCATATTTCATTCAGTGTTATGCAAGTAAATAAGTAAATAGCACATTGTGCCTGTCTCTGTTCGCCAGAAGAGAAGTCCACATTTCTGTGTCTGCACTGAAGCATCTATTCTCAGATGGAATAACCTCCCACCTCTGCTGTCTCCACAGACCACTGAGGTCTTTACATGTTCAAGTATAAAGTTGCATTTGGAACAGGTGAAATGGAAGTTATTGGATTATTTTTAGTAATGCTGATAGTATAAGAATGCTGGTCTATTGTTTCGCCACTTTTGTGGCGCAGAATGCATTCACTGGATGGCTGTTGTGCAGAAGTTTATGGTCCCCAGTTAACAACCCTAATTTGGTGATTCCCATGTTTCCTGTGGCACCACCAGCAGAGTTATCACTTCTTTGGTTTGTCACAGAATTCTGCACGTTTACATTAATGTTTCTTAGATGATGTTCATAGAGACTTTATCTCTACAGCTACTATGACTTCAGTGAAATATTCCAACTATTGGATGGATTAACAACACATTTGGTACTGGTCATCATCAGGTCAAAATTCACTTTGTCCACTGTGTCAACATTCCCATCACTGTAACTTTTACTTAGTTTTTATCGCTAAAATTAGTTAATAAGTTAACATTGTTATTATTAGCATTGTAGCTTCCTAAAGCTCTGTTTTTCTTGAGTCACAGAGCTGCTAGCATTGCTGTTTTGTTACCGTGGGTAGGCTATTTGAAACAGTCCTGGATATGATCGCTTTCTCTTTTAAAGAATTTGTGCCTAAAAGATTTATAGTCATTAGCTATAACAAGGATCTAGATTTATCTACTGTTCTGGATGCTGCTTTGGAATTCGTCCAGTTAAACTTAACCATTACCTAAGTTATATTTGCAATTGTTAATTGTTTTAGGCACATTTTATTGAGTCATTGGCACAGAGGAGTTATGCTATGTGTCATTTTATTTATCACTTTCATTTAGCTTCTGCGTGGAGCAGAACAGAAGAACAAACATTTCTCCGATATTAACTCGATTCATACTGTCCTTAACTCAGACTGAAAATAATGACTACTGCAGCCTTGAAGATAAGCATTAATATTCCCACAGCCGGCAGTCTAACAACAATGGCGTCATTGAGACCTGTGTGTGTTATAACCATGATATGAAGTCACATTAATGGGGCAGGGTATTGTGAAGTAGAGATGGATTGAGAAGAGATGGATTTTCTGCTTGTGTAATATTTCACTGAATATATAAGTGACTTAGTGCCAGCAGTAATTTCTGTGATTACAAATAATAATTGCTATGTAACTTCTCACTCTATTTGTCCCTGTTATTTTTGGCATCTTATGTCTTTGTCTAAAAGACCTGTAGGGATTCATAGGTTTTCAGAGAAGAAACAATTCAGAGGCTGTTGCGATTACAGTCTCATAATAAACTACAGACGTGTTGTTGCATGTCTCAAAGTAGGATGCCTTTGCTGCCCCCAAGTCCCAAAACCCTGATTCCGATTTCAGCATGCCAGCCACTGTGTCCGTGTGTGACCTTCTCTTTTCCTCACTTTCCCCTCTATCCTTTCCTTCTCTTCATGTCCTCCTCCTCTTTTTCCACTCGGCGTCCGGCCAGGACCGGAGCAGCCTGAGCAGTGTAGCATTATTGGGTTTATGTGGTGGGCAGGCAGACAGGCAAAGGGAACTGAGCCAGACGGATAACAAACAGCACCCACTAAGGTAAAATAGAGCGAGAGAGCGTGTGTGTGCTTGCGCGTGTCTGCATGTGCGTGCGTGCGTGTGTGTGTGTGTGTG